TTTTTGTTTTGTTTTGAGACAAGCCTCGCCATGTAATTCGGACCATCCTTGGACTATGTAGCCCAGGCTGGCCTAGAATTCGTGGTGATTTTCCTGCCTCGGCCTCTGCAGTGCTGGGATTACAGGCATGCACCACCACACATGGCTCATGAGAAGTGTTAATACAGTCAGCCAAAACTATACTTTTCTACCTGGCCCGTTCTGTCTTATGCTTAGGAAGTAGAGAAAAACTGATTTTTACTTAATACAGCACTACTTGGCCAAACACCAAGGCCTTTCATTAAAGAGAATTGGAATGATGCAGTTCACAAACGCCTTTTTTCCTTCAAGGAATAAAGAACTGTATCAGAGAGATATCATTGTCACAATTCAGGAAGAGATGAGAAGGGCAAGATGAAAAGCCCTGGGACGGAAATCCTGCCAAGCAGTGTGGAGCACCAGCAGTTCCCAGCCTTAGGGACTCCAACATCTGGCTGCCATTCCAGGCTACCCAACTGAGGAAGGTGATATTTGATGCATTCTTGGCCTAACAGTGCTGGCAGGAAATCAAGAAGATGGAAGCGCAAGACTCTCTCAGGTAATGCAACCTTGATTAGCACAGCCACATAAATGCCGTCACCCCATCCATACTGCCATCGAAGTCCCTCACAGGCCTTTCCCCACAAAGCACCCCAAACCCACCTGTCTACATTTCGGAACGTTTTCTTCCCCTTTCTTACTCAGGAAATTCAGAACTAACTCCTGGAGTCAGCCTCTCCCGCTGTGCTCCAAGTGACACTTCTCTGGCCTGTCCTGGACCCCCGGTCCCACTCTGCTGAGATTCTGCTCCTCTGCACTCCGGAAGCACTCCTATGCCTACCCCAGCGCCCCCCTACTGTTCTCTCCCCGTTTCCTGGGTACCTCCGCGGCAGGCCGACCTCCACTTCCTCACCTCCCCACTCGTCCTCCCCTTCAACCGCGCCCGGCCCTTGCCCCGATCCCGTCCCGTCCCCGCCCGTCCGCGGTCGCCATCTTCCCGCACGACCCCCGGCTCCCCGGGCCCCGCGCTCCCCGGCCAGCGCGCTCACCGTTCTGGCAGCGAGGCCCGTGCGCTTGTCCCACAGGAAGTCCGTGATGGCGGCGGCACTGCGGCCGGAGTCCCGGCACCCCCGCGGCGACGAAGTGCGGCTCCACACCCCCAACCCGGGACCCTGGGCCCTCCCGCCCCGTTCCCGGGCTCCGCTCCAGTCCCGCCCGCCCCGGCTCCGTCCCCGCCCCCGGAATCCGCTGGGCGCCACTCGCACCGCCCCCGCCCGGGGCCCGATTCCAGCTCGGTCTCCGGCTCCGGCCTCTCCGCTCCGCCGCCGCCGCCGTGAGGGAGCACGTACGCACGCACGTACGTCCTGCGTCGCCTCCCAGCTGCCCCCTCGGCCCCGCCCCCAGGGCTGTGCGCGCCACCACGTGCTCGGTAGTTCTTGGGTGCGGGCGCGCCCGGCCCGGCCCGGAGGTGCTCAGCTCGGAAGTTTATGGGGCGGGGAGGGACGGGGAGGGACGGGGCTGGCTCTCGTAGTTTTCCTGCAGACCTCTGTGGCTTGCTCAGCTTTGGAGATTTAAGAGAAAGGAAAAGCTGGGGATTTAGCTCAGTGGTGCCACCGCCTGCCTCGCAAGCACAAGGTCCCGAGTTCGATCCCCGGTAGAAAAAGAAAGGAAAAAAAGTCAGTGTCGTTCGTCAGACGTGACTGGTGGGGCTTGGTGGTGAGGGCTGATTCTCCACCATAGCCTGAAAATATCCATTTCTTAAAACAGTTCACCTATCTAACCCGACCGAGGACAGGCTCCTACCTTTCGTTCTGAATTAAAGTTGGGGGGTGTATGTCTGGGGAAGACAGGAGAACTGAGCACCAAAGGAGGGGAATCACTCGAGAACTGGATCTATGCTTTACGTGACTAGTACTAATTATACGTTTACTGAATCTTTTTATTGGTACCGGGGATTGAACTCGGGTCCTTGCACTTGCGGGGGGGCGGGGGCAGGCAGCGGAACCACTGAGCTAAATCCCCCAGGCCCCAACGTTTACTGAATCTTAAAGAACAGGAAGGAAAACAAGACCTTAAAGCAAATCGGGCAGAGATGTAAAGAAAGAATGGAGCTGTCAGCCTGGCATGGTGGCGCACACCTGTAATCCCTAGCAAGGCTAGTCTGGGCTACATAGTGAGTTCAAGGCCACCCCGGACTATATAGTGAGATCCTGTCTCCAAACAAAGTTAATTAATTTAAAAGGGCTTGGGATGTACCCCTGTTTGAAGGCCCTGGATTCATTCCCCAGTACTTGAGTGACATGTAGGGAGAGAGAGAGAAAGGAAAATTGCAAAGGAAACAAAATAACCTGAAGATAACAAAGGGAAACAAAATAATTTGAAGACAACTATGTTAAAGTCAGGGAATATTAGTAGAGATGGATAGAAGTTACTCAAATGGAGGTTAGATCAGTTAATCAGAAACAGCTTAGAGAAATTCCTGATGTAAGAAAGGTAGGCAACTGAGAGACTTACAGAGCAGTGGAGATTGCACTTTCTCCTCTATGAACACTTTACCGGATCATCCATGCAGTCAACAAGCATTCACTCAGTATTCATTGTGCGTCTTGCACTGTACCAAGCACAAGCTTCCTGTTCTTCAGGGCCTCAGGATGTAATGGAGGAGAGATAGACTTGTAAACAATGGCAGCCTTGTGACAAGAGCTGTTATTAATAATGGTGGGCTGGCTGCTGTAAGAAAGCTCTAGACTTGTGCACACCTGTAACCCTAGCACTGAGGAGGCTGAGGCAGGAGAAATGCTGAGTTCAAGCCCAGCCTGGGTTACATGGGGAGACCCTGTCTCAAAAAATTAGAGAAAGAGGGCCGGGGATTTAGCTCAGTGGTTCTGTCACTTGGCTCGAAAGCCCAAGGACCCGAATTTGATCCCTGGTGCCAAAAAACAATTAGGGAAAGAGGGCTGGGGATTTAGCTCAGTGGTTCTGCCGCCTGCCTCGAAAGCGCAACGTCCTGAGTTCGATCCCCGGTACCCACCCCCCAAAAAGAGATTAGAGAAAAAAGGAAAGCACTAGTCTGGAACTGTGTTTCTATATTTCTTACAAGAGATGAGATCTGAGACAGTTGTTAGTGAATTGGACAATGTCAAATAGAGAAAATACAGTATTTGTGAAGGCCTGGAAATAAGACAGAATAAGGCACCTTTGATGCAGCTCTGGGTTTCCAAAGTGGGGTTGTCAGCAGAGAGCTTATTGAAACTAGGTCTAAATTTTGCCACTTCTTAGTTTGTCAGGGTAAGGGGCTTAAATATGTAGAGTCTCACTATGTAGTTCAGGCTTGCCTTGAACTCACTATGTAGCCCAGGCTGGCCTCAAACTCACGGCAGTCTTCCTGCCTCAGCCTCCCAAGTGCTGGGAATACAGGTGTGAGCCACCACCCCTGGCTTGGAGTTTAAATATGATCTTATGGAGAATTTTGAAGGATTTTATGCAAGTGCTACAACTACATTTGGATTTTTTTCATTGAGATTTTATTAGTGATGACTCAGGGTCCCAGTGTAAGGATCCAGGCCCCTCTTTACCCCTGAGGAAAAGTACAGGGAAGCGAGGTGGAGCCAGTTCATCTCTCTTAGCCCCGGCTGAGACCCAGGGCATGGGGCAGAGAACTTGTACACATGCTGGTACTGTGGCACACACACCAGCCCCTGGCCCTGGTGACAGTCCAGGCATCCGGCCAGCAGCGCCTGGTCTGCATCTAGCTGGGGAAGCAGCTGTCCCCGGGGGCAGTCTTGCAGTTCTCGATTTTGGTCTCTTCTGCACTGCTGCTGACTCCTAAAGAGGACCTTGAAGCAGTGAGCAGCTCAACATAACCTCAGCGAAGATCTCAGAGTCGGACAGGAAGCTGAATGAGAGCGGATGTGGCAGGGTGCGAATAGTGTTGAGACGGTGCAGTGGTGCAGGCGCATAATCCCAACGTTTGGAAGGCTGAGACAGGAGGATCTCAAGTCTGAGGCCAGTCTGGGCAAGTAACAGAGACCCTGCTTCCAAATAAAATATAAAAGGGCCAGGGATGTGGCTCAGTGGTACAGTAACCCTAGTTCCATCCCAGTACCTTAAAAAAGGGGGGCTGGGGAGGTTGAAGACTCTTTTAGAGGTTTCTGAAATAATTTGGGTGGAAAAAAGTGCTGAGGGCTTGAAATAGGGCAGTGACAGTAAGAGACAAGTCGAGACAAAGAGAGGAATTTGTCGTATTTCCGAATGTCTTGCATTCGACACCCTAAAGCCCGTCTCGGTCGTGCTCCGCACAGGTGGGCGGCGGCCGTAAGGCTGGGGCTGTGTGCTCGGCGCTCCTCGCTGGGGCTGCGTCGCCGTGGTGAAGGCGGGAGGGCTGCACTGGAGCGCGCCAGCCGGGCGGCAGTGGGCTCAGAGGGGAACAGTGCGCGGGGCGGCGCAGAGGAGACGGAACCCGACTGAGGACCGAGGACCATGGGTCCCGACCCCTCCCCTCCCGCCGCTCGCCGGCGCCCGGCAGCTCCGGGCCACGCCCCCCCCGCCAGCCAGCGTGAGGCCACGCCCACCCGGAGTCGCCCGCGCCCCCTGCCCGCGCCGCCCGCCAGGGGGCGCAGTGCCGCAGGCCGTCCGGTGCACACGCCCCCTCCGCAATCGCGGCGCTCCCAGTCTGAGAGGCCCGGCGAGGCTCCTGGCCCGGCCGCGCCGGCTCCGCGCCAGGGGTCAGGTGGGCCGGATGGGCACGGTGCGGGGCCCGAGGCCGGGCGCGTAGGCGCGGGCGTCATGGAGGCGGAGCAGCGACCGGCCGCGGGGGTCGGCGAGGGGGCGCCCCCTGGGCTGGAGGCGGTGCCTCCCGCGGCTCCCGCGCCGACCGCCGCGGCCTCAGCTCCCACCGCCGGGCCCGCGCCCGAGCCGAAGAGGAGGCCGCTCGGGACCCTGCTGCAGCCCACCGTCAACAAGTTCTCTCTTCGGGTGTTCGGCAGCCACAAGGCGGTGGAGATCGAGCAGGAGCGCGTGAAGTCGGCGGGGGCCTGGATCATCCACCCCTACAGCGACTTCCGGTACCGGGCGCGGGCGGCGGCGACCCCCCACCCCGGCCCAGGGCCCCCGAGCCCGGAGCCCCCGCCCCGCAGCCCGTCTGCTGGGTCGGGCGGCCCTGTCCCGGGGCTCGGGTCGCCTGGGGAGCCTGGCCCGCGCTGCCCCTCACCCCAGCGCCGCCCCTCCCGGCCGCCCGCTGTCCCTGGTGCTGACGGGGTGCGGCGCGGCGGGACCCGGAGAGGAGGCCGGGACCCTGGGGCCAGGGCCGCTGCGCGTCCCCGAGGGCTGCACCTCCACGGCCAGGACGCTAGGGCGGAGGGCGGCTCTGTCCTTGGGGGAGATGAAGGGCAGCCTTTGGAGGAGGCGGCGAGGCGGGAAAGGCCGGGGTGTGAGTGTGAGGCTGGAGCACAGGCCGAGGTCAGGCATCCTCTCCTGAATGTCCTCTTCTTCCCGTAGTTCCTTCGCTTCCGCCCGGCTCCCGCCCCGCACGCACCTATTCGGCCTCCCGCGCGCCCTCCCCTCCTGCAGTCCCCTCAGACACATCCCGAGGCCCTGTGCCCGAGCCCGGCGCTTCCGCCCCATCCTTCTCCTGCGTCACCCGCTGGGCTTGTGACCGCCTGTGAGTCAGGCTGTGAAGATGTTCCGCTGGCCAGGAAAGCCCGGATCTTCCTCAGCGGCTCAGGGAGAGGAGATCCCGGGGTAGAGGAGATCCAGGGATTGTTGTTGGGTGAAAGCCCACAGTCTGGGAGGCTTCCCAGAGCCTGGATTTGGGGACCACTGAGAGCCTTTGAGGGGCTGAAAGAATCGGTTTGGCAGGCATGGGCAGAAGGGGCTGCATCCTGCTCATGCTGGGATTAGATGTGTCCTAGAACTAAAATCACCGTGGGAAATCGAGTCGCTCGGATTATCTGGTGATTTTTGTCTGGATGCAGGGTCCCCCAGATCCCCCCACCCCTTCTTTCCGCAGCTTCCGCCACAGCTGTACCGTCTCCCCTGGGCGTGGCCTTGCCTGGCTCAGCCGGAGTCCAGCGGTCACAGGCAGAGAGGGAGGGAGAGGAGCAGAGCTCAGGCGCGCTGCTCTGCTCTGCTCGGAGCCCGGGGAGCTCCCGTTGTGCGCGTCAGCCCTTGTGCTGTGAGGGGAGGGCCATCCTTGGAAAGCTCAGTGCAGATGGACGCAGGACAAACTACCCCGCCCTGGACGGGGCTGGGCAGGTTTTCCTAGAGAAACAGGATTCGAGCATCCAGCTGTGCTGGGGAGGAGGCCTGGGGTGGGCAAGGCCGAGGAGTCCGAGACCAGGAATGGGCTGGGAGCTGGAGATGAGAGGAGCAGCAACCTTTTCAGTGGTCTGCAGATAACGGGTGGGTGAGTCATATCACTAACCAGTGCGTGCAGCATCGTCACATACATTGTCTTGGGGGGAATTTCCCAACAACCCTGGGAAATTAGCACAGGGTACTTTATCTTTACATTAAAAAAGCGGGGATTTAGCTCAGTGGTTCCACTGCTTGCTTCACAAGTGCAAGGACCCGAGTTCGATCCCTGGTACCAAAAAAAAAAAATCCTTGATAATGATGCATAAATCTTACGTAGTAAGGATCATGTAACAACTGTGTTACTAAATTGCTGAATGGTCCAGGCTGGATTCGAACTTGGGATCCTCCTGCCTCAGACTCCCACAGTGCTGGGGTTACAGGCGTGTGCCACCATGCCCGGTCACTTGTCTCATTTATTTACATTTCCCACTAATGGACATTTGAGTGTTCCCAAATTTAATCCTGAGATAAGCATTCCCATACACATTTCTCCTGGAACATTTGTTTCTCCTGGGTGTGTATACACCTAGGAATGGAATTTCTGGATGGCAGGAAATGCAAATGTTAGACTGCCAAATAATGCTGAACTGCTTTCCGAAATAGTGGTCCCAGTTTCACTGCCAGTGGCTCTCAGTGGCCATTCTGCTATTCTGTATTCTTTCCCCCTCCTGACCAAGCCAGACTAGCTTCTGTCAGTCCAGTGGCTGGTGAGATGTCATGGTGGTCTTACTCCCCATCCTGCTCCCACCCTAGGTTTTACTGGGACCTGATCATGCTGCTGTTGATGGTGGGGAATCTCATTGTTCTGCCTGTGGGAATCACCTTCTTCAAAGAAGAGAATTCTCCCCCCTGGATTGTCTTCAATGTCCTCTCTGACACTTTCTTCTTGCTGGATCTGGTGCTCAACTTCCGAACGGGGATCGTGGTGGAGGAGGGTGCTGAGATCCTGCTGGCACCTCGGGCCATCCGCACTCGCTACCTGCGTACCTGGTTCCTGGTGGACTTCATCTCCTCCATCCCTGTGGATTACATCTTCCTGGTGGTGGAGCTGGAGCCCCGGCTGGACACTGAGGTCTACAAAACAGCTCGGGCCCTGCGCATTGTCCGCTTCACCAAGATCCTCAGCTTGCTGCGGCTGCTCCGCCTCTCCCGCCTCATCCGATACATACACCAGTGGGAGGAGGTGGGGCAGGAGGCGGCCTGGGGCACACAGACCCCTCAGGGAAGGCTGCATGGTTGGGGCTCCTGGTGACCTTCTGGGGCAGGGCAGGCGGGCAGGGTGTCCGTGGGGGAGTTCTTCCCACAATTGGTAAGGAAGAAGCAGGGACAGAATATAAGGTCAGGACAGTGAGGCCTTTGGTGGGGACGGGGCAGGAGGGCGGAACCCAGCGGCTAGACACACACTTGGGAGCCCTGGTGGAAGCGGGTGACTGACGCCGGGTGGAAGCTGAGGCGTGGAGAAGGCTGGAGCTGCAGGTTCAGACCACAGTGTAGTGGTTCGGGATAGAGGCTCTCGGATCTCCCTGCCTGTGGTCACATCCCAGATCTACTAACTGATAGGCGAGAGACTCAGTGTCCTCTTCTGTAAGATGAGATGTTATGATTCCGTTGTAAGAATCAAAGGACCTAATACAGGGGCCGGGGATTTAGCTCAGTGGTTTCGCCGCCTGCTGCGCAAGCGCAAACGCAAGGACTTGAGTTCGATCCCTGGTACCAAAAAAACCCAAAAAAAACCAAAACAAAGGACCTAATACATGTAAGGCACTCAGAAAAGTGTCTGAGCTGGGTGTGGTGGCCCAGTGCTCTGGGAGGCTAAAACAGGAGGATCCCAAGTTCAAGCCCAGGCTGGGGAACTTGGTGACTTAGCAAGACCCTGTCTCAAAATAAAACATTTAAAAAGGGTGGGGCTATAGCTCAGTGGGAAGGCCTGGATTCACTTCTCAGTAGCACACACACATAGTAAATTCTTGGTAAATCAACTTGTTATTATTACTATGTTGTTGGAAAGAAAGTGATCATTAGCCTTTTTTTTTTTTGGTACCAGGGATCGAACTCAGGACCTTGTGCCTGTGAGCCAGGCGCGGTGCCCCTAAGCCACATCCCAGGCCCAGTGATCATTAATCTATACACGTGCCCTGGGGACATTACACTGTGAAATGCCTGTCTCCTCTTGTCCAGTGTGCACATGAGCAACTTGTGCAGCAGACCGATTTGAGTCTGTCCCGAAACTTGTGTAATTTGGGGCATATGATTGGCCTCAGTTTTCCTGTCTAGAAGAGTTAACTATGAGAGTACTAAAGGTTAGGTATGGAGTGCATACCTGCAATCCCAGCTAACCAGGCAGCAGAGGCAGGAGGGTCATAAGTTCAAGGCCAGCCTGGGCAACTTAGTGAAACCCTGTCTCAAAATCAAAAGGGCTGGGGATGCAGCTCAGGGGTGAAGTGTTTGCCAGGCATGTGCAACACATACAAGGGCCTGGGCTCACTCCCAAGCACCACATGCACAAACACACACACACAATGAGATTATAGCACAACCCACCTTGTATTAGCTGTACATGTGTGCTATAAAATTATACAAGCAAATAATGGCCACATTTTTTTTAATTCAGGGAGGCTAGGGCAAGGGAGAAGTTCAAAGAGAATTTGCAGAGCTGGGACTGGAGGAGCAGCAGGGAGGGTTCCTGTCCACAGCAGCCCCTCCTCGGACTCCTCAGATCTTCCACATGACCTATGACCTGGCCAGCGCTGTGGTCCGAATCTTCAACCTCATTGGGATGATGCTGCTGCTCTGCCACTGGGACGGCTGCCTGCAGTTCCTGGTCCCCATGCTGCAGGACTTCCCTCCTGACTGCTGGGTCTACATGAACCGCATGGTGGTGAGAGGTCCCCACAGCTCTGCCGCCCTGGGGCTTTCTGAGGGCTCTTCTGCCTGAGCATCTGGGAGCAGGAGGTGGGAGAGGGCAGGAAAGATGGGGCAGGCGGGGTAGAGGGAGAAGTGCAAGAGACCCAGAGGAAGTCTGTAGTGGGGGAAACAGGCAAGGAAAGGGACCTGAGCAAAAGCTGAGGCCCCAATCTCCAGTCTTTTGCTTCAGGGACCCAGAGCCAAACAGGTGCCACCCAGGAGGAGGCTCTGAGGCAGAAGGGGCCGGCAGAACTAGACACGGGAGAAAGGGGAGGTACAGACACAGCCGAAGGACTCAGGCCCATCTTTGCAATATGCTCTGCCCTTAGAACCACTCGTGGGGCCGCCAGTACTCCCACGCCCTGTTCAAGGCCATGAGCCACATGCTGTGCATTGGCTATGGGCAGCAGGCACCTGTGGGCATGCCCGATGTCTGGCTCACCATGCTCAGCATGATCGTGGGCGCCACCTGCTATGCCATGTTCATCGGCCACGCCACTGCCCTCATCCAGTCCCTGGACTCTTCCCGGCGTCAGTACCAGGAGAAGGTCAGCAGGGATGGGAGTGAAGGGTGGGTGGGGAGAGGCTGGACACGGGCAGCTCGACGTGTCTCCTGCTGGGTCTCTGTGTCCTTCCCTGCCCAGCTCCATTTGTCCCATGCCTCTGTGTGACCTTTTCCTTGCCACTGTCCTTGGACCCCTCCTCTGCCTGTGTCTGCGTTTTCCTGTCACGGCACTTGTGTCAATCTGTATCCACCATCATTCACACATACTCTGAATTCACACCCACATCTGGCTCCATGTTTCACCCTCTGCGTCTGACCTGTCTTTGGCCTTCCGCACACCCTGGGTCGTCTTCCTGCCGGCCATGGGTTGGCTCTGCAGTACAAGCAGGTGGAGCAGTACATGTCCTTCCACAAGCTGCCAGCTGACACCCGGCAGCGCATCCACGAGTACTATGAGCACCGCTACCAGGGCAAGATGTTCAATGAGGAGAGCATCCTGGGGGAGCTGAGCGAGCCGCTGCGGGAGGTAGGCTGGCTGGGCCCTGAGGGGCTCTGTTGGGGTCTGGGCTTCCGGAGTGCTGTCTAGGGAGGGGTATTTGTCAGCAGATGCTGCTATAGGGAGGCGACTTGCAGAGGGCCCCATGGGAGGCCAGGTATTTTATGGGCTGAAGTCTTTCTCTTTTTTTTGGTACCGGGGATCGAACATGGGACCTTGCGCTTTTGAGTCAGGTGGAGGCAACACTGAGCTAAATCCCCAGCTCTGAAGTCTTTCTTAAGTATCTTAAGAGGCTGAACAATCCAATGGGGACTGTATGGGTTTCCATCTGGGGGGACAGTTCCACCAGGGCCCATGGGAGGACTCTGAAGACAAGGGTTCAGGGGTGGTCCAGGCCCACTACAGGACCCTTCTCCCCTGGCAGATTCGACCTGAGGGTGGAGCTTCTGGAAATAGATGGTTTGGTGGGGGGCTCTAGGGCCAGGGGGCACAGCCTGATGGGCCCTTCCTCTGCTCAGGAGATCATTAACTTCACCTGCAGGGGCCTGGTGGCCCACATGCCGCTGTTTGCCCACGCCGACCCCAGCTTTGTCACTGCAGTTCTCACCAAGCTACGATTTGAGGTCTTCCAGCCAGGGGACCTCGTGGTGCGTGAAGGCTCCGTGGGGAGGAAGATGTACTTCATCCAGCATGGGCTGCTCAGTGTGCTGGCGAGAGGTGTCCGGGACACTCGCCTGACTGATGGATCCTACTTTGGGGGTCAGCAGGCCTCAGGGAGGGTGGTGGGGTCACAACACAGGGTGGAGGGGAACTGCTCCCTGGGATCAGGGGCCTACCCGGCTGTGCTCCACAGGCACTTAGTGCTCCACCCCAGTCCTGCTTAGCGAGGGCCCCAGGGTCTGTAGTTTTCAAATCTCAGGAGATTCCAGTGCACAACCAAGTTGGAAACTACTGGGCTGGAGGGCCTTTTAGGACTCTGAACCAGGATCCTGTGTGTTTAGTGAAAGATAGGGGTGAAGCAGCGCTGTCCCAGGGCCTTGAGCTTTGTGGAGCTGTCCTGGTGGCATGATTCAGGACTCTGCCTGTGGTGGTGGGTGGGGTGGCTCTGAAGCTGGTGCCCAAAGTGACCTGAGTCTCATTAAGCTCTCAGCCCCAAGCTGAGACCTCCAGCATCTCCGTTCAGTGTGTCCTTGATCCTTATTCCATGGAGTGGGAAGGGGGTACACAGGGTGAGTTACCCAGGTGTGCCCTAGGGATAGAGCATCTGGGCTTCATCTGGGGTGAAAGTGGAAGGAGTCACTGGGAGTCCGGAGCCCAGCACGACCTGCTTGTTTGTCCACTTTTTTTTTTGGTACTGGGGATCAAACTCAGGACCTTACTCTTTCGAGGCAGCACGGTGCCACTGAGCTAAATCCCCAGCCCTACTTTTTTTTCCTTTTTGGCTTTTTCTTTTCTTTTCTTTTCTTTTCTTTTTTTTTTTTTTTGGTACCAGGGATCGAACTCGGGTCCTTGCACTTGCGCAGCAGGCAGCGAAACCATTGAAATAAATCCCCGGCCCTCCTTTTTGGCTTTTTGAGACAGGGTCTTACTATGTAGCCCAGGCTGCCCTTGAACTCACAGCAATCCTCCTGCCTCAGCCTCCCGAGTGATGGGATTACAGGCATGTGCTACTGTGCCTGGCTATGTTTGTCAGTTTTAATATGAAGAGAATAAAGACAAGGAGAGTTGCACAGAAATTGTGCAGGTCTGCCGAGAGACAGGACTCTGCGCATGGGGCGGGGTCGCATTGGGCTCCCCAGAGCCTAGGGAGGAGTCCGCTGTGGGTCAGCTGCTGTAGGCCCCAGAGCGAGCACCCACCCTGAGGCCCGTGGTTCTGAGCCTCCTTCCAACTTCCGCAGAGATCTGCCTGCTGACTCGGGGTCGGCGCACGGCCAGCGTGCGGGCTGACACCTACTGCCGCCTCTACTCCCTCAGCGTGGACCACTTCAACGCCGTGCTCGAGGAGTTCCCCATGATGCGCCGGGCCTTTGAGACGGTGGCCATGGACCGGCTGCGCCGCATCGGTGAGGCCGCTCTGGGTCCCCGCCTGCTTCAGCCATCTCCATAGCGAGGAGGCCAGCACTTGTGTCATGCTCCACCCCGACAGGACTTTCAGCCCTGGCTCACTGTCCACAGGTGTCTCACCCCGGGACGGGACGTCATCCAAGTCCCCGCGTCCTGAGGGCGCCTGAGCACGGCCCCCGAACCTCACCTTCTCCGATCTGTACCTTCCGCCAGCCCCAGCTCCACCTCCTGACTCCTCCCAGTCGCGCCTCAGCCCCACCCCATCCCTGCCTCCAGCCAGGCAGCCTGACATTCTTTGATTTCCAGCCTCGGACTTGGATTCCTTCCCTACCCTTAACTCTTCCTTTCTGGGGCAACTTCTAGGCAAGAAGAATTCCATACTGCAGCGAAAACGCTCAGAGCCGAGTCCGAGTCCGAGTCCGAGTCCGAGTCCAGGCAGTGGTGGCGGCACCATGGAGCAGCACCTGGTCCAACACGACAGGGACATGGCCCGGGGCGTCCGGGGCCTGGGCCCGGGCCCGGGAGCGCGGCTCGCTGGGAGGCCCGTGCTGTGGGAGCCGCTGGTGCACGCACCTCTGCAGGCAGCTGCTGTGACCTCCAACGTGGCCATCGCCCTGACTCACCACCGGGGCCCTCTGCCCCTCTCCCCCGACTCCCCAGCTGCCCTCCTGGCTCGGTCCGCTCGGCGCGCAGCAGGCTCCCCAGCCTCCCCGCTGGTGCCCATCCGAGCTGGCCCCCTGCTGGCACAGGGGCCCTGGGCATCCACCTCCCGCCTGCCCGCCCCCCCAGCCCGAACGCTCCATGCCAGCCTCTCCCGGGCAGGGCGCTCCCAGGTGTCCCTGCTGGGCCCTCCCCCGGGCGGAGGTGGGCAGAGGTTAGGACCTCAGGGCCGCCCACTCTCAGCTTCCCAACCCTCTCTGCCTCAGCGGGCAACAGGCGATGGCTCTCCTCGGCGGAAGGGCTCCGGAAGCGAGCGCCGGCCCTCCTCGGGGCTCCTGCCCAAGCCTCCAGGGACAGCCCAGCCACCCAGGCCACCAGTGCCTGAGCCAGCCACCCCGCGGGGCCCCCAGCTCTCCGCCAATATGTGAAACCCTTGGTTACACAGGCCTTAGCTCTTAGGGTGCAGCAGTAGGTACCCGAGGGCAGAAGCCTCTTGGGGACAGCCGGGGGACTCAGGGACCACCCTGTGGGAGCGCGTCCCCCGTCACCATGGTGTTCTCTGTAGCCTATGCTCAAGCAGCCACAGCCTGTCTGATGTCCCAGTCCATTCATTCACCCATTTGTCCTGTGTACCCAGCCTATATGGTGAGGGCATGGTGCCAGGCACTGTGTTCCTCCACTGCCAAGTAGAAGTGACTCAGAGCCCTCTGCCCAGGCTGCTCCGTGGCCCTGGTCCTGCCAGGTGCAGGACGGCCCGTGATCCCTCCCTTTACTAAGCACAAGTACTTGCCACCACCATCACTGCCAAGGAACGCGATGTTTCTGTTTCCTAGCCAATGGCCCTGCAGGGCTGGCCTAGTGTGGTATCTTCCTGTCCCCTTAGTGTAGCTGGGCACTGTCAACTACCTGTGCCTCCACTGCTGCCAACAAATGTCTTGGGTCCTGAGTGTGGGCATCCACCTCTGCTCTCTTACTGCCATGTGTGGACCCTCCCCACCTGCTCCCTCTGAGCGGGAACACGTGTCTGTCTGTGGCAGCACGGTCTGTCTAACTGGGAGCTGCCTCCTCCCTGTGCCCTTGCCCCTGTGCTGTCCCTCTCTGGAGCTAAGGTACAGCTGGCGCCTCCTTAGTGGGCTAGCCTAGATCCCCTTGGGTGTGGGTAAGGAGCTGGACCCTTATGTGAACTGTTTCTTTTCATCTTATTTATTCAGTTATTTATTGATTTGTTCATTTGCTATTTGACTTATTATCAACTCCTTTTGTTCACCTGTGCCTCCCTGTCCCTCCATGCCAGCTTCTGTGGCCCTCGAGCAGCGCCATCAGCAATATTTGAACCTCCTCCCTATGTAGGTAGAGGCAGGAGGGGCTGACCAAGAAGGGAGGACACCGATTTCACCACAGGGTTTTTCTCTCCTGGGTCTGCTGTTGGTGCAGGAATAAGGGATGTGCCAAGGCATCCATGCCTGGGGAAAGGCAGGCTGGCCCCTCTGCCTTCTCAGGGACAAGAGTAACCCCTTACCCATCCGCTCTGTCCCCTCTCCTTTTCTGCAGCATCAAAGAATGTGGAGGGCCAGGACCCTAAATCTTTCCTTTTAGGGGAGAGTTACGGGGTTCTCGGTGTGTGGGAGAAGTTTTATCATTGCTGTAAACAGCTGTGTTTAAAAAGAAAATAGATACTCATTTTGGCTCCTGGTTTGTGTGTGGGAATAAAGTGGGTGCAAGAAATTTCTAGGTGTAAGGGGGGGGCACTGGACCCAGCCAGGCATGAGGGGAGGGCTCTGCAAGGCTGGCACTGAGGCCGTGAAGTCAGGGATTCGCTCAGCTTGCCCCAAAGCATGCTTTGATGGCTGCCAGTCACCTCAAAGAGGTGAGGGGTGGGAACCTGTGGGAAGGGAATTAACCAGCCGGGCTGAGATTAAAGGCTCAGGACACCTTAGCGGATCTGACACCTGAGCGGATTGGACGCAGAGGCCATAGGATCAGTGCTGCCCGGCAGCCAGAGCGTCGCTGGATGCAGATTGTCATGGGCTGCAAGGAGCGGAGAGGAGGAGAGGCACCCTAGAGTGGGGCTCCATGGCAGATGTGGCCTCAAACAGGGAACGTGGGAGTGGAGACAGCAGGGAGCCGAGTGGGGAGGGAGGGACCTGGGGGTGCCGCGTGCTCAGGAGATGCTCAGCACCCGCATGATGTTGGTGTAGCCAGAGCCAGGCCGCCAGCCCGTCACCACAATCACCAGATCCCCTGCGCTGAGGAAGCCACGAAGCTTTCCTGGGGGAGGGTGGAGGACAGTCAGCCCCTGGAGGACGCAGAGCAGCCCTGTGATGAGGCTGTCATGCTCCCCCACCTCAAGGCCACCCTGAGGGGAAATGGCAGCACTGCAGGGAGCACAACCCCTGTGGGATGTCAAAGTGGCCGCAGGTCCCTAGTGGGGTGGTGTGCATCTTGCTAAGGAGCAAGCCTGTGGCTCTGCCGACAGGAAGAGATCGGGTACGATTATGTGACAGTCATAAATCAAATTTCAGCTCCAGATGTTCCAGTGGCTGGAGGCACCTGGTATAGGCAGCAGCTGGGCCCTGCCCTCTGCTCTCCTTCATGGCTCAGCTTAGCCTCCCCGTTTAGAGTGTGTTACCTCTCAGTCTTAGTGACTCTTGGAGGGAAAATCTGGGAGCAGAGGAGACAGGCAAGGCTCTGAGCGAGTGTGAGAAGCTGGTCTGGGGGTCTCCCTGTAAGTGCGGGAGGGGAGGAAGGAAGGCGTTGGGATCTCACCGCTTTCGATGCCAAACTGGACCCGGCGATCCACATCATCTGCCCAGATGGCCTCCGGAACCTCACGGTAGAGCACGGGGAAGACTCCCCGGCACAGGTGGATCTGGCGAGCAGCCTGGGCAGAGCGGGTGACAGCGATGACCGCTGCACGAGGGCGGTACCGAGACAGAAGCTGGGCTGAGCTGGAGGAGGCAGAGAAAGTTAGGCCGGAACACAAAAGTACAGGGGCCAGTACACAAGGTGTCACCAACAAGCTGTGTGACTCTGAGTAAGTCCTTGGACTTCTCTGGGCCCTGGGTCCCCGCTGTGAAATGAGTATCAGAATACGCTCCCTTCCTAGCACACAAGGAAGACAGCAGGGAATAAAGGTACACCAAATGAGATGACAAAACTCTAAGAAACAAAATGGCCAGGTATGGTGGTGCACGCCTGTAATCCCAGCACACAGGAGGAACCTGGGCTACATAGTGAGATCAAGACCATCTTGAACTACAAAGCAAGACCCTGTCTCAAAAAAAGAAAAGAAACGGGCCGGGGATTTAGCTCAGTGGTTTCGCCGCCTGCTGCACAAGCGCAAGGACCCGAGTTTGATCCCCGGTACCAAAAAGAAAAGAAACAAAACATTTTATAGAATGTACATTATAAAGCACTTAATTTCTTTAATACCGGAGATTGAACTCAGGACTTTGCACTTGCCAGGCAGGCATGGTGCCACTGAGCTACATCCCCGCCCCAGCACTTGATTTCTACATAGACCTTAATGTCTCTTATTAATTCTCAAAACCCCACGAGGAACACATGGCTAATTCACAGGCCTGAGGAGACTAGCAGGCTGGCAGGGCCCGGTGAGTTACTCACTCGAGGTCTCACTGATGAGTTTCAGAGCAAAGCCTGAACTCAGCCCTGCTGCACCTTTGAGCAGGACCTCAGCCTCCAGCCCCAGGAGCCCACAGGCCCCGACACCCATGTGCCCAGTGATGCCACCTGCCCTGCCAGGGCCCTGCAGTTCACTGGCACGAGTCCTGGTGTCTCCAAGACCTGGCGCGCCCCCTCTCCTCTCAGAGGCCCCTCTCTTCTTGCCCTAGGGCAATATTCTTCATCCCTGAGGATCAGCCCATGCCCAGGCCACGGCTCCTCCCAGCCTGTGACTGAGCCAGCGCCCCATGTGGGCGTCCCGTGTCCTCCTCACCGGCCAGAGGTGGTCAGCACGATGATGGCAGCAGCGCAGCACTTGAAGGCAGCCTCCACAGCGCCGATGGCGGTGACCTCAGTGGGGTCACGGCTCAGTGGTGCTGCCCGGCGTAGCTCCTCAAACAGCTGCCGGTGGTACACTGCGGCCTCTGCCTCCCGAGCAATCTGCAGGCACCAGAGGTCAGGCTGGGCAGGGACATGTGTCCGCTGGCAGTCCCTGCCCGTTTGCTCTTCACTCTAAGCTCCTACCGCGTGCTGCATCTTCACGGCCTCCACCGGGAAGTTGCCCTTGGCGGTCTCCCCTGACAACATGATGCAGTCAGCCCCGTCCAGCACGGCGTTGGCCACGTCGCTGGTCTCTGCCCGAGTTGGCCGGGGCTTGGTGATCATGCTCTCCAGCATCTGGGGGCGCCATGGACGGCAGGATTGTAGGAGCCACACTCCCTGGGGAGGCTGCCCACGCTGCTTCTCTGACACCCCTACTTGCTGAGCCCGGACGGCCAGGATTAGGGTCACGAGCTGTGTGACCCAGGCAGTTGTTCCCTCATCTAGAAATGGGGGTCACGATGTTTCTACCTAACCTCGTTGTTTGGGGTCAAACACCAGAGGCCAAGTGCGTGTGGGGCTCAAGTGTGGGTGCTCTCCCTCAGCGTCCCTCAGGCCTGAGTGTCCTGCCCCAAGGGCTCCTCCAGACCTGTGTGGCACAGACCACGGGCTTGCCCGCCAAGTTGCAGCGCCCAATCATCATCTTCTGAGCCAGGAAAACCTTCTCGGCCGGGATCTCGATGCCCAGATCACCTCGTGCCACCATGATGCCATCGCTCACCTCCAGGATTTCATCAAACCTGGGCAGTTGGAGGAATGAGAGCTGGAGCAGAGCCAGGACGCCCCAAGAGGGCAGGCAGCACAGGCAGTGAAAGCCTCACTTCTTCACGCCTTCATGATTCTCGATTTTGCTGATGATTTTGATGCCCTGTCCTTCCGGCCCCAGGGCCGCCCGCACAGCAGCCACGTCGCTGGCTTTCCGCACGAAGGAGGCGAAGATGATGTCCACCCCATGCTCCACCCCGAAGCGCAGGTCCTTGGCATCTTGCTCGGACAGGCTAGGGAGGTCCACCTCGGCGCCGGGCAGGTTCACGCCCTTCCTGCTGCCTAGGACGCCGCCGCTCTCCACCTCGGTCAGCAGCCCCTCGGGGCCTGAGCGCACGGAGAGGGGAGGGGAGGGGAGGGGAGCGCCGTCATCAGAGGCCGGCGAGGGCCCAAGGTCGCGCCGCCTTCTCGCCCGCCCGTTCTGGGTCGCATACACAGCGGGTACCAGATGGAAACCAGATGGAAACCTGAGCAAGAGGCGGGCAGCTCAGGTGCGCCCCACCCTTCAGGGGGAGGACGGGGTCCGGGACGGGCGGACAGGTGGGGACCTGGGCGGCGGGCGGGCCGCACCGATTTTCCGGACCACAAGGCAGATGAGGCCGTCGTCGATGTAGATGCGGCCCCCCACCGGCACGACCCGGGCGATGTTGGAGTAGTCCACCCACACGGTGTCCGCGTCCCCCCGAGTCCGGAAGGCCGAGTCCACAGTAACCAGCACCCGGGCGCCCTTCACAATCTCCACTTCCGACTCCGGGCCCTGGGGGCGGAGCCAGAGGAGCCATGACTCCACGCCCGCCGCTCGAGGCCCCGCCCGCCGCTCGCCCGGCCCCGCCCTGCTTCTCACCCGGCCCCGGCCCGCGTCTCACCCCTCGCAGGATCCCAGTGCGGATCTCGGGCCCCTTGGTGTCCAAAGCGATACCCACGGGCCTGTAGATGAGCGGGGAGCTCGCGAAGCTCTCTGCTGCCTCCCGGATGTTAGCGATGGACGCGGCGTGGTACTGGAGGCGGAGCGGGCAGGATCTCAGGGGAAGGCGGCTAGGCCCCGGCGCCCCGCCCTCCCGCCCCGCCCCCCACCTCGTGGGATCCGTGGGAGAAATTGAGTCGAGCGATGTCCATCCCGGCCTTGATCATCTCCTTGAGGCGCTCGACGGATCGAGATGCCGGCCCTGGAAGCACAGACCCCGCTCAGACGATTTCCCCCCAGCCTAGCCGACGACCGACCACCCCGGCTAGGAAGAGGCCCGTCACTGCCTGGCTCTGAGCCTTGCACGCTTTCATTCATTCATGTAATTATTTAGTACTGGAGACCGGGGCTTTCCCACGGGGTCACATCCCCGACCCGTTTTTATTTTTATTTTGAGCCAGGGTCTCGCTAAATCACTATGTAGTCAGGCTGGGCTTGAACCCCAGATCTTCCGGTCTGCGCCTCCCGCGTGCCGGAAGACCGGGCGCCCCACTGCGGGACCCCGCGCGTCCCAGTGGACCCGGGAAGCGCTCCCGTAACTTTGCACGCGCTCACAACACCGCCTTCTGGGGCCTCGCCTCAAGCCATCCTCCCCCGCCGTCCAATAGTCCTTCTGGAAGCCCTGCGGGCTCCGCCCTCACGGCGTCTTCAGCGCCTGACCACCTCCACCGCTGCTAAGCGGCCGACCGCCGAGCCGGAAGTGCCGAAGTACCGTGGGACCAGCTTCCGTCCTCGGCCTCACCCCACTCACCCCCAACCCATTTCAGCCCGGGGGCCCAGCGGTTCTGTGAAAACAGCCGGGCGTGGTGGCGCGCGCCTGTGATCCCAGCACTCGGGAGGCTGAGCCAGGACGATCTCTGAGATTTCGAGGGCAGCCTGGAGTGCACAGTGAGACCCTGTCTCAAAAAAACTAAAAACTATACGTCGCTGTCATCCACCTGCTCCAGACCGAGTAGCCTATGAAGCGCCGCCCTGTCCTCCCTCTGTCTCTTCCCATAGGCTGCCCTTGCCCTTCACGCTTCCTAATGGCTTTGCACTGGGTGCTGCTGTCTGTCCCCCGGTGTCCGAAGGGCTAAATTTCCCATCTTCACTCCGGCTGCCCTGCCTTCCCTGGTTAGGCCTGCAACCCGCCTCCCACCTCGAATCCCTGATGCCCCTTCCTACCCTCTACATTTCTCTTTCCCCCCACAGTATTTATTACTTTCAAACACACTACTTATTGTGCAATTATTTTTTATTATTTGTTGTTCTATCCAAGTGAGGCTGTCAGTTCCTCAGGGGAGCTGTTGTCTCTTCTTTTCTGATCTCATCTCCTCCAACTGCCCTGGGCCCCTAGCCTCATCTACTAGATGCTCAACGAATATCTGTCGAATGGTGGAAGTGCTACTACATGCCTGTAGAGAGGCTGAGGCAGGAGGGTTGACATGAATTCAAGGCCAGCCTGGGCTACATCGTGAGTTCGAGGCCAATCTGAACTACATACCAAGGCCCTGTCTCAAAGAAACAAGCAAACAAAATTCCCAGTGCTACAGGGGAAAAAAGATAATTGTTAAATGAATAACTGTGGAACATGGTGCCCTGCCAATGGACAGCAAGGCTGAGGAAGCACGCTGAGGTGTCCTTACCGATGGTGGCAATGATGCTGGTGCTGCGAGCGGCCACTGGCTCTGAGTCGATGTCAAGCAGGCAGAGGTGTTCCAGGAAGGTGTCAGCCATGGCTGCTGGCAGCTGCTGCTGCTGGAAGAAGGTGGTGCCCAGCTCCTGGGTCAGCTGGGCCACACTGGCGCGCCGCAGGTACCCTGCTGGCCCTGCGGTGGAAGGGGTCAGGGCTGCCTCCCTTGGCGCCAGGCACCAGGTACACAGGACCTTGTCTGGGCCCAAGGGACTTAGACAGCAGGTATTGCACATGCTCTACATATCCTGACTTTACAATTGGGAAAAAGAGGCTGAGAACAGTGAAATATATCACCCAAGATCGTGCAGTTTCTGAGTAACCAAGATGGGATTCAAATCTAGATCGGACCAGCCCTAGGCTCAAATTCCAGTCACCCAGCTACGCCTAACTTCTGACCCAGCTCCCCAGCCCTATTCACAGTGGCGCCTCATTATCCATGCCAGTCACCCAGTTCCCTCTTCCAAGGTCCCTGTTTACTTCTTGGCAAGCCCTGGCAACGGGCTGTCTCCCCCTCCCAGCTCCTGTCACCCGCTAGCACTGCCCCGGGCCCAGGGCTTCAGCTTGGTCCAGCGAAGCCTGTCCAGCCGCACCTTCCATGCCTCTGCTCTCTGAGCCGGTCTCTGTGGGTCTGCTGTGCACTGTGTCCAGACCCTGGGCCCTGGGGCTGGGCTGGGCAGTGACACTGGTTAAAGTGTCACCAGCGTCTCTCCGGCCTGTATGCCAAGGTCTAGAGTCCAGGCAGCATGGGGGCGCCCCGTGGCTCCCCACTGGCCCAGACCAGGCGCTGCACTCTCAGGGAGACAGGTCCACCCCAATCGACTGCCACACTCATGCCCTCCTCCATTGCCCTCTCACCTCCTGGGGCACCGATGAGGACAGACTTGGCGAGGTCCCTTTGGGTCTGTGGGATCCATGAGCAAAGCTGCTGGGGCAGAAGGTTGGGAATTGACATGGTTCCAAAACGTGGCCCTAGGAGGAGAAAATGACAGAACTGCTGGCCTTATCAACAGGGGCCAGAGAACGGAGCAGGGTCACACCCTGCGCTCCGCCTGGCCCCGCCCTGCCCCCGACTTTGCCCTCTGCTCCTGCCTCTTCTGTTCCCCTATCTCATCCATTTTTCTTGATCAGTTTCAACCCATTCACTCCGCCTGGTCATCAGCCTGAATAGAGAGTTTTTAAATGATCCCTTTTCTTTCCACTTCACGGAAGTGAACCCTAGATGAACCCAGGGAGCAGGGGCTCCTTCAGAGCAGGGACTAAGTCTGAAGAGACAGGAGGGGCAGCCCTTCGATAGTGTGGTGGGTGAATGGTCCCTCAGTTTCCCCACTTGTTTTTCTGTCCTGACCAAGAGATACAGAGATCGCTGTGTGACCTGGGCAGGGACAGGCTAAGGTGAGACCTTGAACACCTGGTGCTGAGAAACCTCAGGCTGCCGCTGATCTTGGAGTTGCTGAACAATCAGGAGCTAGCCCTGCCCCAGGCGAATCCCTTCAGCCCCTTCCCCTGCCCAGGTAGAACCTTCTTCATCTCCCTTGCACTGCAAGGATAGTGTGACTCCCTCATAAATTTCCCTAATCAGTGCTTTGGGCCTCCTCATCCTAGCATTCAGTGCTTCTTTCCTGGGGCCCCAGTAGGCCCATGTTGGGGTGTGGGTGGTCCCTGCTGCCGCTGTTGGGGACTTGCTGCCTGTGTGGCGTGAGGAACTGTGGGGTTTGCTGGAAGGGCTCAGTGACGTGGTCATCAGTCTCCATCAGCATCACACTGTCTCCCGTTTGCTGCTCACTGCCGTCCAGTGTTTATTGAGTGCCTCCTCTGTGACAGGCCCTGAGTATAGATAGAGCCACTAGCCAGATCCAGGGAGACATGCCTGTGGGATATGGGCCTAGCCACTAGGGGGTGCTGAGGCAGGGTTGCAAATTTTTTTTTTTTTTTGGAACCAGGGATTGAACTCAGGACCTTGAGAATTCAAGGCAGGCAGTGGAACCACTGAGCTAAATCCCTAGCCCCAGGATTGCAAATTTGAGGCCAGCCTGAGCAATTTAGTGAAACTCTGTCTCAAAATAAAAAAGCAAAAAGTCCTAGGGATATATAACAGTACTTCCTGGGCTCAGTCCTTAGTACTGCAAAAAACGGAACCACACTAAACAAAAGTATTCCCTAGGGTCTTTCCCATCAGTGGAATTGATAGTAGTGTAGTGGGGAGACAGACTGTAACAAAGTATCAAGGGAATAAATGTATAACCACACTTTGTAAACGCTATTAAAGCAGGGATCGTGGTGCTGGGACAGACTGGCCAGTGGGGAGAGGAGGGGAATATCTTAAATTAAATTAAACTATAGCCAAGTAGGGGCAAGGATTTAGCTCAGTGCCACTGTGCCTGCCTCACAAGTGCAAGGTCCTGAGTTCGATCCCCAGTACTAAAAAAAACCCAACATTATAGCCATGTGATGATGCATGCCTGTAATCCCAGCACTCAGGAGGCTGAGGCAGGAGAATCACTGTGACTTCAAGGCCAGCCTGGAGTACAAAGTAAGTGCAAGGCCAGCTGAACTACATAGCAAGACCTTGTCTCAAAAAACAAAACAAAACAAAAATTAAATTAAATTATAGTACTGAAGATTGAAATGAGGGGTTTTTTTTGTGTGTTTTTTTTGGTACCAGGAATTGAACTCGAGTCCTTGTGGTCTTGGGCCTGCAAGGCAGGCAGCAGAACCACTGAGCTAAATCCCCAGCCCCAGAGGGCCATTTTTAATTTAAAAAAATTTTTTTTCCAATACCAGGGATCAAACTCAGGACCTCGCACTTGCCAGGCAGGCACGGTGCCACTGAGCTACATCCCCAGCCCTACTTTTGGGATTTTTTTGGTACTGAGGATCGAACTCAGGTCCTTGTGCTTGCGCAGCAGGTGGTGGAACCACTGAGCTAAATCCCTGGCCAGCCGTACTTTTTTTAATTTTGAGAAAGGTGCCATTAAGTCACTAAGGTGCCCGGGCTGGGCTTGCATTTGGGGTTAAGAGTCCTGGGCTCCTAGGCATGTGCCACCATGCCTGGCTGGGAATGTGTTTCAGATGAGGGGGTGGGAGGGCACCTCTGAGGGAGGTGAGTGGCTCTCTGTGAGCATGGACTCGTGTGCCAGGCCTCTGAGGAAGAACGCACTGGTGCCAGAGAGGGAGCAGCAACTTGGCTTGGCACCCAGAGCGGAGGGCAGGGCGTGGTGAGATGGGGAGACCTAGGCCGGGCCTCAGAGCCAAGCAGGGATGTGACCCACCTGGCTGGGGGGTGGAGAGCCCAGAGCAGGCGCGGGAGACCCCTGGGGGCCCAGGAGTTCAGCTGGAAGGTGAGGGGCACACGGAGCAGGCAGGCCGGGTCAGGGAAGCTTTGAGATAAACCCATTCTGGTTAATCATTAAAATCCAGATGCTGAGGGACCTGCTCACTGAGTGCTTCCTGCGTGCTCACTGTCTGCTTTTATCATGAGGACCTAGAAGGAGAGGAGGGTGAAGGGGCAGGGCACAGGGCACAGAGGAGCCGCTGAGTGGGGCTTTCGTCTCCAGCTGCCACTGCTGAGTCCTCCTCCACACTCCTCAGCTCTGCTCTAGAGCCAGAGGCTTTCAGACGCTTTGCCCATGGCTTTTGCAGGGTTTGGCCAGCGGCGAGCGGCACCCATGGGGGCCGAGGTGGACTGATGGCTAGGCTGGCCTCCCGTGCCCAGGTTAAGGGGTGATGAGCCCACTGGGACCAGATCTGGCCTGACACACACCCCTTAGGGTTACCAACACTCTACCTGGAATCCTCAGCCTGAGGATGGGCTGGCCGGGATCCCAGTGGGCACAGTGTGGGTGCTCCATGGAGCCTGATCCAGGCTGAAAACCAGAGTCCGTTCCTGACCCTATCTTCAGTAGCCTTGGAGACGAAACAGAGAAATAGCGACTGAGTACATTGCCCCTGCATCCATCAACTTCAAAATACATGAGACATGTCAGGGGCATTTTAGAGTAAAATGCACCATTCCACCCCTTGCCCCCCAAAGACTCATGTCTACCTCATGCAAAATGAATTGAGTCCATGGCTTAGAGTCCAGTCAACAGTCTTCAGAGTTCCAGGGTTGCAGAACAGTGCATTGAGGATTCTTACCCCAAAAATGTACCAGCAATTCCTACCACTAGGGGGCAGGGCCACAAACAGCCTGGCTGAAGAGGGGCTGGGGCCTGCACTGGGCTGGCCTGGACAGGAGGAACCAGCCATCAGGTGTGGACAGGCCCAGGACCAGGGCGGGGACTGGAAATCCTGCACTGCAGGTCAGCACCCTTAGGTGATGCCCGCTTCGTTCCCTCCCCACTGGGGGGTCAGGCGCCTGTCTGTGGCCCCTTAGGGCAGGATGCCCTCGGAGTCCCCATGGCTGTGCCCTCGCCCTGCCTCAGCAGCGTCCAGGTGACAAGACAGGAACATGCTGCTCAGCCCTGAGGGACCAGCTCAGACACTGGGGCTCTGCACAGCCTGAAGTGCGCCCTCTGCTGGCAGGGCCACTCCTTGATCCTTGCCATGTTCAGGAAGCACAGGACCTGGGAGGGGAACAGCCAGGCCAGGCAGCAGGATGAAAGCCATTTATTCCCAACCACATGAAATCAAATTGAACAGGACCGCCGGGACCAGGGCACCAATGATCCCATCTCTGTTTCCTCCTCCTGTCCTTCTGACCCTGAAAGAAATTTTATTAAAATAACACATTTTCTAATTTTTATTTAAAAGATTTTCTAAAGTTTGTTGTTCATTTGATGGATTATCTTTACATTTTTCTTGTGATTTTTAATTTCTTTAGAAATTTACAAGTTAAAAAGTTTTCAAAGAACAATGAATGTGTGGAGCTCACCTTGCTCCTATAGGGCTAACAGGGAGATGGGAGGAGAGGAGGGAGGCAGGTGGGGCTGAATGGGAAACAGTGGGGACAGAGCCCGGGCCCCAGTTCTCCAGGCTTTGCTGGGGAAATGCTTTGGATCAACTTGAGATCCACGGAGTCCTTTTCCTAAACGCCAGAGAAAAAAGGAATGGAGGGGCTGCAGGGATGAAGTCCCAAGCCTGGGCCCTGATGGGTTCTCACTGTCAGGCAGCCGGGGTTCCGGGGAGGAGAGGACCCCGCCTCAGCCTCTTCTCCTGGGGGCTCCTCAGTGTGAGCAGGGCTCCCCTTTGGAGGATCTGTGGAGAGAGAGCAGCAGGCACTGAGTGCTGTGCCCCTGCCCACTCTGGCCCCGGCCGCCCTCCCAGGGCTCCACTCACCACCCTCCACGGCTGCACCGGCAACGTTCTGGGTGACTGTGGGCCCTGCAGTGGGCTCCTCACCATGGCTCTGTGCAGCGGCCCCAAACTCTCCGTGAATGGACCTGGGATCGTCCTCCAGCCCCAGCTCCACGTCCTGCAGCACAAACAGCTTTACCCAGAGGGCCAGGGGCTCAGTGTGCGCCCTGATGCTGCCCGGGAGATGTCCAGCCCTGCCTGCGCTCTTCCTGCACTGGGAACAGCCGGCTGCTCCAGTGCTGCTCCTTCTTCTCCTCCTCCTCCTCGTCCTCCTCCTCCTCTTTCTTTTCTTCCTCTTCTTCCTCCTTCTCCATCATTTTCTCCTCCTTCTCCTCCTGATGCTCTGCTTTTGCTACTACCAACTGTATGGGACACATGGCAGTGAGCTCTGCAGTGGGGAGCAGGACAGCACTCAGCCATCCCTTGCAGGGACCCTGACCCCACACCTTCCAGCCTCTGCTACCTGGCCCTGGCCCGGCTCACCGATGTCGCCTGTGTCCCCACAGAGCTCCAGCCACTGATGCTTCAGGTCCTCTACCACCTCCTTGATCACTGCCTCCTCCTGCAAGACCTCCAGCACAAGGAGCCAGAGCAGCAGGGTCAGGGCTCTGTGCCCACCTGCCCTGCCCACCCTTCCTGGCCTGGCAGGACAGACTCACCAGCAGCTTCCCCATGGACACACGGTCACCGCTGCTCCTGGGGGTGCGAGCCTCATCCTCAGGTTTGTCCTGGGTTGGGCTGCTAGGTGGGTCAGGTAGCAGCGTTGCCCCTTCTGCTGCCCCAGGTCCCTGGGCAGCAGAGCCTGATGTTCCTGGACCGGGGTAGGACCAGCACTAAAAATGCCATCTAGGCCAGGGATTTAGCTCAGTGGTTTCACCACCTACTGGGCAAGTGAAAGGACCTGACTTTGCTCCCCGGTACCAACAGAAGAGCCATCTGTAGAAGTGGTGTGCCTTGTGGGGGGACTGCTCCTGACAAAATGGGGAAAGGAGCAGAAAGGAGCTCCCCTCTGTCACTGGCACCCGAGGGTCCCAGGGGACAATGTCTGACCACAGCTGGCCAGGGAAGCTGTGAGGTCCGTGGAAATAAGAGGGTGGGGAAAGCGAGAACCTGGGGTGTCCAAAGGGACCACAGAGGGACACAGGGAAGGACACACGGAGAAGGGATGAAGTGGAGACCTGCTCACCAGGGCCTCTGAGCTGCCCGAGTCTGCAGGGGTGGTGTCGTCAGACGGAGGAGTCTCCACACTCCTTTCCTCCACATCGCCTTCATTTCCAACTGGGAGCAGCCAGGAGGTCCCCAGTGAGCCACACGGGAGGCAGAGCAGCCCAAGGCCCCCTCTTCACCCTCCTTGCCAGGGCCCCCTGGACCACCGCCCTCTGCCAGAGAATGAGCAGCACTCTACAGGTCTCCTCCCCCTCAACTCTCTGTTTCACAGCTCTGCTCAGCCCACCCTGCCCTAGGCATCTCCACTCACCTTCCCTGGGCTGGGCCAGGACTCTCTGTGGGGTTGACTGCTGATCTTGCAGCCTGGAGGCTTCCAGGCCCTCCTGTGGGCAGCATGGAAAGTGAGAAGTCAGAGGCATCCAGGGGAATTAATACTGCAAATACAGCCAGCCCCAAGACCCACCCTCATTGTCCCAAGGGCAGGCACAAAGGAGAATCATCCCCTGTCCCCAGCAGATGCTCCAGCAGGGTTCTGCCTCACAGGACACCTTCACAATTAAGGTCTGCAGTGCCCCCATTGAACTGAGGGGGTAAGGACCCTGAGGGCTAAGTGTTCGGCTCTGCCCTAAAGGACCTGGCAGGGAGGAGACCAGTGAGCAGTGGCCACGCACCAGCCTCAGGACACTGTCCTGTGTCTGGGCCAGCTGCTCCGCCTGTTCCACCATTCTTACACACAGGCTGCAGTTTTCTTTCTTCTATGAATTTAGCTCTTCCGACACAAGTTCCAGCTAGTGTTTGAGCTGCTGGAGCTCACACTTTAGCTGCAGTTCCCCCTCAGAGGGCCTGGCTGGGGGCTCCAGGGCTGGGGCCCAGCTGAGAAGAGAAGTAGTAGTAACGGTCTGGGCCTCTCAGTGCTCAGCCCCCAGTTCAGGCTCCGCGCCCCACCTCGGCTTCCTGATGAATGATTTCCCCTACCCAGATGAGGGCCAGTCTTGAAGCCACTTTTCCCTGAGCTTCTCAGGGGGGTTGGCAGTGGGCACAGCACCCATCTCTCAGATGGGGACAGGAGGCTCAGACAGATGAGAGGATTGCCAGCTCCTGTCACAGACTTTCTCTCTGCCCCATCCTTTGAGTGTACGTCACTCCTTAGGAAAGTGCAGGCCACAGCCACAGCCACAGCCCAGAGACCGGGCCCAACTCCCAGGTCAGCCTTGTGCTCGCTCACCCATGTCTGCCTTCAGGTCCATCAGGCTCCTCTCTAGCTCCTGGACCTTCCTGTCCTGCTCCTCCTTCTCTTATTTCAACTTTGTCAGCTGCCCAAGGCACAGGGGACAGTGGACGGGGGGGACTGGTGACCTCAGGTACATCTATCACCCAAGTGTCCTTCCCTCTCCCCACCTCTGGCCCCAGTCTGCAGTATCTCCTTCAGGACACTCTGGATCTCGGTTGCAGAGGACTTCCTAGGGATGGAGACACAGGGTCAGGGTAAAGGTAGCTGGATGGGGAAGAGGCTCGGGGCAGTGGCCGGCCCTGACCCCTCAGCCTAGGGACAGCTGCCCCAGTAGGAGACACTCACTTGTTCTGAGCCAGGACCTTGGGGCCACTGGTGGCATCCTGGCTCTGCTCAGAGAGAAGCACAGGAGGTGGTGATTCCTCTTCCACTAAGACTCCCCCACCCAGGGTGGCCTGAGCCAAGCTCCCTGCACACCCTGCCACCTCCCAGACCTCACACCCTGGGCTCGGGCAGAGAGCCTGAGCATATGTGGCTCTTCTCACTGGCCTGGCTGCCCTTGAGGCTGAGCAAAATCAAACAGCAGCTACCATTTACTGAGTGCTTGATCTGCACCAGGCCCGAGGGCATTCACATAAAAATGTGTCATTCAAACATCACAATTGTACATAAAATCCTCCCCACATATTTAATTGCACTGCTGTTGGTCAGACCCAGGACTTGTCATAAGCTTGTCACACACCAGACCGCTAAGCTATCACAGATCCGGCCCTCCAATGCAGATTTCTTGTCCTGCACCTGACCCTATGCTCATGTGAACCCTGCCCCCCCCCCCCCACTGCCATGAGAGCCCCAGCCCCAGCAGCCTGGCCAGCTCTGACTCACCTCGTCAGGTGGGTGACATTTGCCACCAGTGGATATCCCAGGATTTATGCTTTTCTTCTCATCCAGAGAAGGACCCAAAAGAGTGTTTCTTTCTTGAAACTCTCACAACTGCATAAAGGAAAAGCAATAATACTGATGACAATGATGAGCCTCTGTGTTCACATCCTCCTGCATAGCTTCTACAGCACACTCTTAGGCACACCACCTGCTCCAATGCAGCAATGACCGACACAGTGCTGTGATGAGCAATTAATGCCTGAGCAACGGAGCAGTTACGTGGCTACACGAAAGAAAGAAAAAAAGAAAGAGAAAGAGAGAAAGAAAGAGAGATAGCACTGTGGTGCATGCCTGTCATCCCAAGTACTGGTGACACTGGGGCAGCAGGAGCACAAGACTGGGACAAGCCTGAGGTAAAATAGCATTAAAAAGTGTCTGAAAATAGAAATAATAAACTATAAAAAGTATTGGGCATGTAGTTCTGTGCCTCCTGGAATCAATCCCTCAGGCTAACACAAGAAAAAAGCAAGAGGGCTGGGGTTCAGCTCAGCAATGGAGAGCTTGGCCCACTGATGAAGGCTGTTTGTGTAATCAGCACTACACACACACACACACACACACACACACACACGAGAATTCAAACGTGAAGCAGAGAATTTAGGAGATATTTTGAGTCTCTCTGGAGACAGAATGCTGGGAGAAAACCAACCCAAAGCTGGGGTCACCAGAGACACTGTCAACCTTTCGAGTTCTCTGATAATGGTTTCCTGTTTTCAGTGTCCAAGTTCAGCAGCAGGGAACCTAAAGCCTCGCTGCACCCCTTCCCATGCTCCCACCCCTTCCGGGTGGAAATCTGCGTCTCCACCAGAGAAATTGGACCGTGGCTAAGGACACTTTAGGGCACCCGGTGGGAAGAGCGAGGGCCAGGTGAGGGGTGGTGATGACACTGTGAGGGGACTGGGCCTTCAGCACATCCTACGCCTGCCTCCCTGTCCCCCGAATCTGACTGTGCCCCTGCCCTCCTCTGTGTTCAGAACAGGGAAGCGACGAGGCAATCTGAGGTAGGGCTCAGGGAGGAATGGGGTGGGGTGACAGGAGGCCCCAAGAGTGATCGCAAGGGTCCCCGAAGCCAGGAGGGGGCTGGGCTGTGAGGCCCGGGTCTGTGGGAGGACCTGATGGGGGCACTGGGGCAAGGAGGGTCCCGCCCCATGTGCCTCAGGGGCGCCACAGACTCTGACCGAGGAGCGGCCATCTGGGGACTCAGTCCGGGCCCAGGGGCTGGGATCCTCCCTGTGTGCTTTACCTTTTGCCTAGCTCTGGCCAATTTCTGCCTACGGGTTTCTTCTGAAATCCCGGGGCAGGGAGAGGGAAAGGGGAAGGGCCACTTGTGCACAGTGCCTTCCATCACTTGGAAACGCTCTCCAAGAGTCTCAGTGCCGCTCCGCTGGCCGCCTGCAAGAGGCGTAACCAGGGCGGAACTAAACTCAACACAGAGGGCGTGGCCTCAGCCCCCCAGTCCCATTGGTTGAGAACGTTGATGACGTCATAAGGGCCCTGGTGAGGCCGCCTCCGGGGGGTGGGGGATGGGTGGTGTCCCACGCAGGCTGCAGGCAGCTGCTGGTCCTGGCAGCTACGATAGGAGCTATGATAGGAGGGTTCCTGAAATGCCCCCGATAGCGGTGGAAAGGGTGTGCATTCCATGGAAACAAAAACGCCATAGTTTCCCAATTAAAATCATTCTAGGATGAAAAGTCTAAGGAGTGTTTCTTAAGTACAGGGAAAGGATTCTACATAGCCTTCATCTATAGGCAGGACTAGAGTGCAGTGATGAATACGTGCTTAACTCTAAAGAATCAGTTAAATAAAAGCACTAAAAGAAGTCACAGAGCAAATAGAAGTGGAAAGAACATATATAAAAGGAGAATTAAGTAGAGAGACCAAACTGGAATGAAAAAATCAAAAGCTTCAGTGTGAAAATTAGGAAGAAAGGGAGAGTTAAACAGAAACAAAGAATGGCAGCAGAAATAAAACAGACAGAATCAAAGCCAGATGAATCAGTGAGCACTGTAGATGTAAGCTTCTCAACTCCATGTGGAAAGGAATCATTGTCCAACCTTATCTTTGAAAAGTGAATTCACCTTCAGGAGGAGCTGCATCTGAACTAAACTGACTACAATAGGACTGAGAGGAACAGCATGGGAAAAGAAGTGTGGCCCACTTAAGGAACGGCCACGAGGCAGCCATTGACACTCACTCAAAACAGGCTTTGGCCAAGGGAATAACCCCTCACAGGGCCACGTTAGTTCAAATGGGAATCTCATGAGGCTCTTAGGGCAATGCTACGTCTCTATGACCTTCCTGGTCTCTAGATGAATCCTCGTCTCCTGCCAAACCTAGAATGTCTTGGGACTTGGTTCCTAGCGTTTCTCTGTGATGATTTTTCTCCCGGTAGTCACATTCACTTGCACAACACGACAATCCAGGTGTTCACTAACTCTAAAAGTTACATCTTCAGCCAGCACCCGATGGTGAACTCCAGACTCATGACATCCATGGTCTGTCCATGTGACATTCCCCGTGTGTGTCTAATCGTTTCTCCAGCCTCCTAGGTCCAGCGTCCAGCCTGCAGTCTCACTTCTGCCACAGGTTCTTCTCCTAGGCATCAGCATCTCACATACAGGAGACCCCACCTCTCCATGCTTAGGCTGAAAACAATGGAGGCATCTGACAGATCACTTCCCCTCATATCCTATATTCTACTGGCAAGTCTAGTAAAATTTCTTTCTGTCCTTCTTTTTGTCTTTTTCTTACTGTGGGGCTGAGGATTGAATCCAAGGCTTTTATACTGAACTACTGAGTTCTTAGCTTACTCATTTATTCCTTCCTTCCTTTCTTGCCTTTTTTGTTTGTTTTGTTTTGGTCATTGGATTCCTTCTGTGAAAAAAAGCCAGAACCTGATTTCTCTCCACCCCTACTGTGGCCACCCTGACCAAGCTACTGACACCTCTCCCGGGGCTATTGTGTTTGCCCCTGTCACTGATATCCCTGCTTCTGCCTCTGATTTCCATGTTTGCCCAGATCCTCCTAGAAGTTGATGCCTGACAGGATCCAACGTACACACGATTTATTGTGTAAAAATCCTGTGGGAGGAAATGACACCAGGAACGGGAGAGACTGACACAGCTTCCAGACTGTGAAGCAAGGGAGATGTCAAATGAGGGAGGGGAGGCAGGTTAGGTGCAAGGTCATAGGCTTCTGTGTGCTCATGAAAAGTTGAGCAGGGCTGCTAGAGGGTCCTGAGCCAAAGCCACCTGCAGGGAGTCCTGTGATTCCCGGAGTGGGCTGCCTTGGTCTCCCTCCTGGGCTCTGCCCTGACTTGAGAATGGCCAGTGGGAAGCAGGGCCTCAAGCCCTCCCTCTGGGCCTGCACTGAGTTCTACCTCCCGCACATGGCCATCCGGAGTGCTACCACTGATGCCATCTCCAGCCCTTCCATCTGTTCTTCTGTTGTACTCAGCTTTGTTTTCATGTTAAGAGAGGCTCTTGCTATATTGCCCAGTTTGAGCACAGCCTCTAGAGCCTCCTGCCTCAGCTTTCCAATATTGGGTTCCATGTGTGCAGCACCACACCCTGCTCAGTCAAAGAGTCTTAAGGCTGATGTCCATTAAACTTTTCTCCTGGTCTCCCAGCCATCACTCCTAAAGGCAGTAGATGATTTTCTCTGGAATCAGTGATCAGAAAAGTAAAAGCAACAAGCACTTTATGGAGCAGTGTGGGGCATCACGGTCACGTGTGTGGTGAAATGGCAGATTAAAGCACTCAAGCTGATGTTCCTACTGCATGAGGGACCGTGAATGTTGCAGAAGGAACCTGTTCTGGCATTTCCCAGATTCAACTGAACCTTCCCCTCTCCTCCTTTTTCGAAAAGTGTCTCTCAGAATACATGTCCACTGGGTCATGCTGAGAACTCCTATGTAGGCTCTAATGGGGTGATCAGTTTGATGACAGAGAGGCCAGAACTGAGCTATGTTCTGTTTTAGTGTGTCCTCATCTGCCCACCTGGAACAGATCATCTGCTTATTGTCACCCTCAGGGAGGCCCTGTTTCAGTCACAATGGCTGCGCCACATCTCCACACTAAATACCAGCTACTGGGGTGGACCTGTCTTTCCCCAACCCAGACCCTCCACAATGGTGTCCAAATAGTTAAAGGAATCACACAACCCCCTGCCCTCCTCATTCCATTAAAAGGAGAAGGGCTCATCACAATAATCACAGTAAAGAAGGAACGGTGAGTCCCACCCCTTCCTTCCCTGCAGCCCCATTTGAGAAGCTGGGTCTCTAGAGCAGGGTCTTGTGCACACCCACTTGCCTGCGTGCCCAGGGGCTCTCTAAGCTCATGATGTTAGTGTCCCCCAAGCCAGGACCGGGACAGGCCGAGAGCCTGACCACCCCTAGCTGCCTGTCACAGTGACCCAGGCTCCAACCATTACCACGCAGTCAGTGAAGCACCACGTGTCACCCCGTGACAACATCCTGACTGAGCGTAAAGCAAAGGGGAACCCGGCCCCCAGCTGCCCGGGACTTGAAACACCAGATTCTTCAACACTGCCAAGGACCCATGGGTGTCCATGAGCAGGAGATCTGGGACCCCGTGATCACCTTCCAGAGTAGTGGGTGGCCCGAGGATCACAAGGGCGGATACGAGCCCTTTACCCGAAACAAATAAGGCACAGCCCTGTGCAACAGGATGCACCTGCAGGTGTCCAAATCTCCCCTGGGGCCCAAGAAAACCTGGACCCTGCTGTGGTTCAGGACACGGCTGTGCAATCCCCCTCCGGGCCTCCCATCCGTCATCATCGGGATGAGCAGCCCCACGGAGCCCATCACCCAGAGCAAACGTGTCTCCCGGGGCCACACAGGAGACCTGCACTTCTCCAGTGCGATGCTGTGGGACATGCAGACTGACTACAGCTGCAACACCTGCTTCCATTTCACCCACACCATCCAGCAGAAGGACCCGTTCACTCTCAAGGTCCTCACTACCCCGACAGCTGCAGAAGGGACACCCAGCTTCGCGTGTCCTCAGGGTACCTCAGGCAGTCAGGTGGTGCTCTGAGGCATGGACCCCTGCTGGAGCGTGACGCTTCTGGGGTCCCAACACCCAATGCTGCATGGTACATGAAAGGCAAGGACCTCCCATGTGACAGTGTCAAGTTTCAGAACTTCAACACGTCTCTGCATGTCACCAGTGTCTCAGGGAAGACTCTGAGGAGTGTTTCTGTCTGGCCTCCAAAGAGGGGGGCCGCACCTGGCACACGATCTCAGGTTGAGTAAAGCCTGCTTCCTACTGGCTAGATGAACCGAAGAGCCCGATCCTGGCTCCTGGAGAGGACAGAAGAGTGTGCAGGGCCGATGGGAACCCCAAATCCAGTGGATGGTGAATGGGAAGGGAGCCTTTGCAGTCAGGACCACCTGACCCAAAGCGTGAAGTGTCCGGTGACACCACCAACTTCCAGGACAGGCAGAGCAGTGGCAGGGCCCTGAGCCAGCGCAGCATCTCCAATGAGCACGGCCACCTGCTGGCCAATGCCTGTGTCGGCGTGCTCATGCTGTCACCGTGGAACCAGCTCTTTCGGTGAGCTCTACAACCAGACCCAGCTGCACTGCCCTTTCTTTGTGTCTCTCATTCCCACCCTCCGATGGCTTAAGAATGGGCAGGAAGCAGCCAGAATGGTGGCAACTACCATGTCTGTGAGACTGGCAGCCTGGAAATTAAGAGGATCCGCAAAGAGGACCAAGGCACCTACACCTGTGTTGCCACCAACATCCTAGGCAAGGCTGAAAACCAAGTCCGCCTGGAGGTCAGAGACTCGGCCAGAGCCATCTGATGTCCGAAGACCAGGAGGGGCACCACAGTGCAGCAGAGTATCATGTGAAGCACGGCCCCTGGCAGAGACTCAGCGTCTCCTGGCTGTAGGACACTGACCAGCTCTCATTGGAAGCAGCCTGGAAGAAGCAGATGACTCCCTGCCTCACCGTGCTAGCTGATCAGGCCACTGGCTGTCCTGCCCAAGGGACGGCCAGACCCCCGGTGACCTGGAGCAGGGACCTGGCTGAGCAGAGCGTGAGGCTGACCTGGATTCCAGGAGAGGACCACACAGCCCCATCAAAGACTATGTCATCCAGTTCCAACCAGGGTCTGGCCCGACCATTCCAAGTGCAAGACAGTATCAACCCAGCTGTCCTCAGCCTTCCCCGTATGTCAACTACCAGTTCCAGGTCGTTGCCATCAACGAGGTTGGGATCAGCCACCCCAGCCTCTGTCCGAGCACTGCCAAACCAGCAGAGCTCCCCAAGTCTGATCCCAGCTATGTGAAGGAAGAGGGGACCAGGAAGAACAACGTGGACCAGATCACATGGATGCCCGTGAATGCCGCCTCCACCTCTGGCCCCAGGCTGTGGTACACCAGCAAGCGGAGGTGG